ATTGAATCATCCACATTGTTCAATCGAATTGAATGGTGTATTTCCGCCTCACAATTAAAGGTTAAAGTACGTTTATTGACGTTTCAATTTCCACTTCGGAAATCGTTCTCAAAATACAAACATTAGTAAATTAAACAATTTTTGTTTTTTTTTGTTACTTAGTGAAAAATTCTTCTAATAATTTAATTGTATCTGACTCATTTATATTGACAATTCAGACATACATTATACATTTTAAAGTAGAAGACTTTAAAATGATATTGCGGAAACTAAGTATTCTTAGTGCTACTGAATAATTATATTTTAAAACATGTTTTTTTTTTGAAATTTTACACTATATGCCCCATTTTGAGTGTCATACAAGTTATGAAATGTATTCAACATTTAATTTAGAAGAGAAATATGTTTGAAAAAAAAAATGTTATTAATAATTTTAGAGATGGGCACTTTAGCGTGAGAAGGGCACGTTTGACTCGTCAGACTGGAAAAAGGGCTTGCTCTTGGTGTCAGACAATAATATAACCGTTAGTTTATTCGTTAAAGCAAGACATACAGAAAAAATAAGCTGGTTATTTATCATTTTTGCACTGACCGTTTTTTGGTCAAGTTTGGGGGGGGGGTGGACACCCTTGCCGTCCCATCTATGGCGTCAGAGAATATTATTTCCTTTTATTATTCACTGAAATCAAGCCATTCAATAAATATGGCAAAAGTATGTATCATTTTTGCACATGTCGTGAAACGGTCATGTTTCGGAAAATATAGGGGAAAAACGCCCCCGAACCAAAAAAGTCACAGAGGAAAACTACTGTGGTAGACTTGGTTTAAGGAAGTTGTACAAGAAGTTTCAAGAGAGTATAAATCTCTAAAAATTTTGCCGGCGGGCACTCTAACTATAATGAATAGAGCTAAGGAATATGAAATACCGTTAGCATTAATCCTCATAGATTTCGAGGAGGCTTTCGATTCTATATATCCAAAGGCAGTAATAGAGGCTTTGACTAACCAAGGCATTGAAAAACCGTACATAGAGACTTTAGCAAATATATACAAATAAGCAAAACCTAAGATAAAAATTTATGAATTTAGAATGAAGTCTAAAAGACTTCAGAATTTCCCACCACCAGAGGCGTCCGAAAAGGAGAAGCAATATCACCAAAGCTCTTCACTGCAACTCTAGAAAATACTCAGTAGACGAGTATGTATACCTGACACAATTAATACATAAATCTGGCTCCTTACTCCCAGAAATCAACAGAAAAATGAAACTGACTTAGGCATCTTTTAGTAAAAATACAGTTATATTCAAATCCAGGATATCATTCCACTTGAAGAAAAAAGCATTCGGTCAGTGTATACTAACAATAATGGCATACGGCTGCGAAACTTGGATACTAAAGAAATATTAGCGAAACTCATACTCAACGGCATTGATTATAAACCACTACCAGTAGTGGTTTATAATCAATGTCAACGGTCAATGGAGGTATGCCAGGTATAACAAAGAGAGATCGAAAAATAATAGAATGGACCAGACAGAAAAGGTCACTGATGTAATCCACAGAATTAATTTTAACATTTAGCGAGAAGAACTGACAATAGATGGTTTACTAGAATTTCACTGTTGTCTTGAGTAAAATGTCTTTAATCTTTCCTATCAGCCTCTCTTGGCTAACTCTTGTTTCTTCCGACCCCGAATGGCGATTAGGTTTCCGAAGAGACGGGTCACTATATTTCTTTCTACTACACACTCTTCACTCACCAACCCGCATGGCAAGCGTGGTGATTTATTTGCCATATCCCCTCAAATAATGTCGACTTAAAACTTCATTACCCCAGGTGAGTAGGATGAATCCAGAATCTCACACTGATTTATCAGTCTGTCCCAAGGATTCTGGGGGGGACAAAACCTTGACTCATAAATTATTTAAGATGAATGTCGCAACGTACAATGCTTGAACGCTACTGTCAGAAGCCAAGATCACTGAAATGGAGCTGGAGATGGAAAAGATCAGCTGGGACGTAATTGGGCTCTGCGAGGTAAGAAGACATGGCGAACACCTACAGACATTAAAATCTGGCCATATATTCTACCACTTCGGTGAAGAGAACAAATCAGTGGGAGGTGTAGGTTTCCTCATAAATAAACAGCTGTACAGTAGAATCCATACAATACATGGTATATCCACGAGAGTAATATACGTCATTCTAAAGTTGAACGACAGATATAACATCAAAATAATACAGACTTATGCGCCAACCACAGACCATAGCGAAGAGGAAATAGATATTTTCTATGACGAAATAACACAAGCACTGAAAGAAAATCACACCCATTTTACAATCATATGTGGTGATATGAACGCAAAAATTGGCATGAAATCCGATCCATCAGAATTTGTACTTGGAAACTTCGGCAGCGATGGAAGAAATGAACGCGGACAAACTTTATTAAACTATCTCCTTCAGAACAAATTATATCAAATGAATAGCTTCTTTTACAAAAAACAACATAGAAGGTGGAAATGGAGAAGCCCGGACGGGAGAACGCAAAATGAAATTGACTATATAATAACAGATAAAAAATTTATAGTTAAAGATGTGACTGTACTCAACAGCTTCACAACAGGAAGTGATCACAGAATGGTTCGCGCTAGAATAGAAATTAACATCGATAAAGAGAGAAATAAACTAATAAGAAAGAAAAAATTGAAAGCATGGTCACAACCAAAAAATGAAACAGAGTTTGCAGATCAAATAACGGTACGTCTACAAAACAGGCCCCCCACAAATGATATAAATCAGTTAAATAAAGTAATTACTAATATAATAGCAGAAGCTCAAAGAAAATATTGTACAGGTAACAAGAGAGAGGAGAGAATCACTGCTAACACCAAACTTAAAATGGAAGAAAGAAGAGAAATGCTAATAGATAAGAGTATAGAACAACAAAGCATAAATAAAATCAACAAAGAGGTCTCAAAAGCAATTAGAAAGGACATAAGGGCATATAAAAATGAGAAAATCTCGCAGACAATCGAGCACAACAAGAGCATGAAGATATTAAGAAGGAAATTGACGAACAGCAGAAAAGAAATCATCAGACTTAAGGGAAAGAACGGCAAACTAACGTCCAACAGAGACGAAATGCTAGAGATAGTAGAAGACTTCTATAAAACACTATACACAAATAAATTGGACTTAAACCCGACAGAACATACAGAACAAAAAATTATGAATCAAGGTTCAGAAGATATTCCCGACATATCAACGGTTGAAATTTACCATACTCTAAAGAAAATGAAAAAAAAAAAAACAAAGCACCAGGAGAAGATGGAGTAGTGGCGGATGCGCTAAAAATCGGAGGCTCTGCTCTCATCAGGACAATCAAGCAGCTCTTCAATATATGCTTAGAAAACCAAGCAATACCAGCTGAATGGAATAATTCTATAACGCTCCTCATGCATAAGAAAGGAGATCAAACAGACCTCGAAAACTATAGGCCAATCAGTCTTCTAAGTCACCTGTATAAATTATTTGCTCGAATTATCACTGCCAGAATTGAGAACAAACTAGAAATATGCCAACCAAGAGAACAGGCAGGTTTCCGCCCTGGGTATGGTACAAATGACCATCTAACTTGTCTAAAGGCCCTAATTGAAAAAACTATAGAGTACAACCGGCCACTAGTTCTAGTATTTGTTGACTATAAAAAAACCTTTGACACTATCGAGATGGTAGCTATCTTAAGAGCTTTGAGAGATTGTAGAATCGACTACCGATATACCAGCATTATTCAACATATATATGCAAATGCCACAACAGCAATAAACCTCCACACCCCTACTCAAAAAATAAAACTAAAAAGGGGAGTTAGACAAGGAGACAACATGTCACCAAAACTATTCAATTCCGTAATGCAGCATGCATTCCAGATGTTAAAATGGGAAAACAGAGGTTTGAGTGTCCATGGCGAAAGGCTGAACCACCTACGATTTGCAGATGACATAGTTCTAATAACCGACGACTTAAAGGAGGCCAACGAAATGCTACAAGATTTACAACGAGTCTCCCAAAAAGTTGGGCTGGAAATAAACTTTGCGAAAACTAAAATGATGACCAACTTAGTACCTAGTGGACCATTGAAACTAGAAAACTGGCATATTGAAACGGTTGACAAATACATATATCTGGGCCACGAAATACAAATAAGTAGAGACAACCAAACATGCGAATTATCTAGAAGAATAGCTTTAGGATGGGCAGCCTATGGCAAGCTAAAAGACGTGTTTAAGGAAAACATCCCAATAAAGCTAAAGAGAAAAGCATTTAACCAGTGCGTACTTCCGGTGCTCACTTATGGAGCTGAAACACTGACATTGACTAAAGCATCAATAAAAAAGTTACAAGTAGCACAACGAAAAATGGAAAGATCTATGCTTGGCGTAACTTTGAGAGACCGAATACGAAATGATGAGATACGGCGAAGAACTGGAGTGAAAGACGTCATAAAACGGATTACGAAGTTGAAGTGGAAATGGTCAGGACACGTCGCAAGACAGAGAGACAACAGATGGACAAAGAAGATTTTAGAATGGCGGCCAAGGGCAGACAAGCGAAATCGTGGAAGACCACCTACCAGATGGACGGACGACCTTAAAAGAATAGTGACAAACTGGATCGCAGCTGCACAGGACAGAGAAGAGTGGAGACATCTTGAGGAGGCCTATGTTCGACAGTGGACAAATTTGGCTGTGTGATGATGTGATGATGATGATCCAAAAGTCATCAAGAGACCAAGATGTCCAAATTTAAGATTGGACTATGACATAAGGAAACAAGCCCGTACAACATAGCACAGAAAAGCGAATATTAGACAATCGTGAGCAGAAGTGAAGAACGACTATGTAAGGGTAAGGGTATATAATCGGTAGAATACGTTGAGAATGATAATGATAAATAATCTGTTAATTAATATTAAAATATCATTCTTATTTTACCTGTAAGGCTGCATACTACCAAGAATAGACTTCTCATCTTTGCAGTAAAATCGGGTGTCAGCTGCTGAATTTCTCAAGTTCGTCACTTCAAATGTAATTACAGCCGTTTTACTATTAGGGATAATAAGCTCTGAACTTACTCCTACATCTACTGATAACACAGGTTGAGGGAATATATTATTTGAGCTGTAGTCATTTACATAGGTTAACCGAGAAAAACGATTGCCTATAAAATAAAATAAATATGCATTTTTTTAATTTTTCGAAATATATGTGACATAGAAAACTAAAACTTGATTCTGGAGATTACGATAATCTCACAAGCTTGAATATCATATAATAAAAGTAAATAAATGTTACCTTTTCCGTCAGTTCCTTCCACTTGTACTTGGAACGATTTGTGCGTCACGTTGGTGAGTTCAATATCTAGCTGTTTGCGTTTGTTGTTTTTTATAAGTAACATGTCCTTCATTATAGTATATTTTAGATTGTTTGACAATATTTCTCCATCATTACTGATAAAGCTAATGTTTTCAACTGTTCGTAAATCTCCCGTAAAATCTAGTTTCAATATTTTCATTTTGTTTTGAAGTGCATTATCTGTGAAATAGTAAAAATTAATTAGTAGAGGAAATAATATTTTTGGGTTAATAAGGGTTTTTAAATATATATACGGAGTGAGTTTTTAATGCGACATCTGTCAAGTCAAGTCAAATTTATTGATCACATGCGACATTATACAAAATACATGTATGAGACAAGTCAAAAATACAGACATAAATCTTAAAATTATATAAATTAATTAAACACGATAAAACATACTTAAAAATTATTTTTAGAATATGGCTCTAGCTCATAAATGTATTGATGTACACACCTCCGAAAGTTTGGCTGATGTAAATTCATTCGTATATCTATTGGTAATTTGTTAAAGAAACTTATGGCTGCATAATGTGTGCTACCTTCTAACAAAACAGAACGATGTTGTGGAAGCATAAAGTGATTGTCTCTGAATCTTGTTGAATAAACATGGTTAAATTGAAATTTATTAAATTCATAAATTTTGCTATGCAAATACATTATACACGAAAATATATACAGACCAGGAATTGTCAGAATATTGTTTTGTCTAAAGATGCCTCTACAAGAATCTCTAAATTTCATTTTATACATTATCCTAATAGCTGTTTTCTGAAGTACGAATATCTGCTCTAATTCAGAGGTAAATACAACCCCAGACTTCAATGCCATATTTGGCTATTGAGTAAAAATGGGCAAAGTATACTGTTTTTAATACTGATGTATGAAAGAAACGTGAAAGAATTCTTAATGCATAACATGCGCTACTTAATCTGGATTTCAAATTAGAAATGTGGTTTGACCATTTACAATTACTGTCTAGAAGTACCCCCAGCAACTTCGTGCAGTCTGTTTTATCTATTGCTGCTTCTATAGTGGCTTGAGGGTTTAATAAATTATTTGACGTGAAAATCATATACTTTGATTTCTCTTCATTCAAAACTAATTTGTTGGATAAGAAATAACTTTTGATGGTGGATAGTATCTGTAAAGTTTTATTTTGCAAATTTTGATCAGACGTTCCTGTGACTAGAATGTTGGTATCATCCGCATAAATGATAATGTTAACCCCAGTCAGTGAATTAGTTACCAAAGTTAAATCATTAATAAATACTATAAAAAGTAGATGACCCAATACACTACCCTGAGGGATACCATAATGGATATCCAATGTGTTTTATTCGTTTACAAGTCCATTAGATGTTATCTTTACTTTTTGTCTTCTATTCTCTAGGTAGGAAGTAAACCATTTTAGAACTATACCACGAATACCAATCCGCTCAAGTTTTATTAGCAACAAATTATGATCCAAAGTGTCAAAAGCCTTGGACAAATCGAGAAATAAACCACATGCCTTCTCTCGTCTGTCCAAAGCATCCAACACTAAGCTGACGAAATTTGCAAGAACTGTAGTTGTAGACTTAGAAGATGTAAAACCATGTTGAAAATTATGCAAGACACTATGCTTTTCATTCCGACACTCCGTTCATTCTAGTATAACCTAGAGTATCAATTATCTTTGAAAACACAGATAAAAGACTTATGGGACGATAGTTGTTAAGGTCATCTTTATCACCACTTTTGAATAAAGGGATTACAATAGATAGTTTAAACATACTAGGAAATATTCCTTGTTGAAAAGAGGTATTACAAATATCCGTCAGTGGATCTGCGAGAGCATGAATGCATTGTTTTAATAACTTAGGGGAAATCTGATCAAAACCACAACTGTGTTTGGATTTAAAACTTCCGACTATACTAGTTATTTCCTGTGGGTTAGTTGGATATAAAAACATAGAAGAACTATTACGGTTTTTTGATGCTGATGTAAACCCATCTATTTTAGTAGGATCCAAAGCGGCAAGTAACTTTGGAGCCATTTCACCAAAATGGTGGTTAAATTTGTCTGCTAAATTACTGTTATCATCACTAGGTACTTTTGAGTTATTTTGTTTCCCGACTGTTAAATTTACTAAACGCCAAATACATTTAATTTTATTTGATAATTCGTTGTCGATAATGTCGATAATTCCATTATGGTATAGAATATCCAAAAAAACTTATTTAAGAAAAAATGTAGACAATGATATTCTCCATACTTGGAAAATATATGGAATTCTACAGGGTGATTACTAACAACGTGGTATAACAAACATATAATTTTTTAAATGGGACACCTTATATATTTTTTCAAATTTGTATTCTCATAATTCTTGTTCTTATACTATTGAGTTTTGCATGACTATACATAGTATTTAACAAGTTATGACCACTTTTATTTCGAAATCCCTATAAAATCAACAACATGTATATAAAGAAGTAATGCATAAACAATTATTTATTTTATATAATAAAGTAAACAATATCTTGTAGTTTTTAAATTAAGTTTAATTGAAATCAGTGACAAAAATTTGTATACAGAGTGAACTACAAAACAATATTACGATTTTCTCAAAATTTTTTTAAATGGATCACCCTATATTTTATTTTTTAGAAATATTGTATGTATGATACTCTTTTATTTTTATATAGCATTATCTATACCATCTCTTTATAGAAAACGACGTCATCGAAGCAGTTAACGAATTTGTATACTTACCTGGAAACACTCGTCAGTACTGAAAATGACACTACCGCAGAGAGAAATCGCAGAATTTCCACGGCTAATAGATGCTATATTGGGCTTAATCTCCTTAAATCTACAGTTACCGTAAAAAGGGGTTACATTGAACATTTTCTTCATATTTTGTTGAATAAGTTTTGTATCTGTTGCTCAATCGAATAAAAAAAAACCACTTATGGGTCACTATAGAATCATGACTTTACATACGTTAGATTATCTCTTGGCGTAGCTATGTAAAAATAGCTATAAAAAAGTTGCTGTTCAATTTTACCCCGGGTTCGGGTAACATTGAACAGTAGTATAAATCGGTGTCTACGAGCCCACAGGTTAGTTATTCGTTCAATTTAACCCCGCCAGTGAAACAAGCGGAAAAAACTATACTCGAATTTGGTATAATGCAAAATGCACTAAAAAATTTACCTCTGGCCAATAGAAGGCAGAATTCTTCGCAATTCTCAGGAACTTGACCACATAATCTCCATCAGGCAGTTTTTCTTTTATAAGACCAACGAAAAATTTCAAGATCTTTTTGGTTGTGAATCTCACGAGCACATAATCGTCGACGACTGCAGCCCCTGTTGGCCTTTCGATCTCCTCGTTCTTTTCTTGGTGCATTTCATCACAAAATGTCTCGAAATCACAATCAGATTCGTCCTGAAGCTCTAGTTCGTAGTCGGAACTGTCACTATCCAATTCCTTAGCAGACTTTTTCTTATTCTTCGTGGGTGGTGCAGAACTTTCTCCTATTTCAAAATCTTCCAATCCGATGCTTTTACCCGGTGTGATGTTAATTTTCTTTTTTCTTTGAGTTCTAGCTCTCTTTTTGTTCCTAATACCCTGTAGAAATTGTAAAACTGTGTCGTTTAAACTGTTTCCAAAACTTTCATTTGATTCAGTATCATCAGTACCAGGCAATTTCTTTAATATTTGATTTCTGTCTAAATGGTATATACCCGTTGCCCGAAAGCCACTTTGAAGGTTTTGTTGTGTGTAAACATATGAATCGAATATTATTTTCAACCGACAGTCTGATAATTTGCTCAGAAAAGTGGCTCGCCAAGTTATCCCCGATTAATACTTTGACTCCTTCTTCATGTCTCGTGGAATAAAGGAAAACAGAAGTAAACCAATTTAAAAATGTTGCAGAATCGAACCATCCATGAGCTGTTCGGTTGTATCTGGTTTTATCGGGTCCTCCTTCCGTCCAAGTTATCCAAAGGTTTTCTGCTTTGTAGACTACATACAGAGGCAGCAGAACTCCTGAAGCGCTTCCACAAAACATCAAAGAAATGTTTGATTTTGATTGAGATAATAAACGTTCTGGGTATTTCACCCCTCTTTTAAAAAAGCATCTTGCAGACCCAGGATCATCCGATAAATTTGTCTCATCGAAATTGTATATACAATCGGGGGAAACTCCATCTACACATTGCTCAAGGTTATCAAAATAAGCAACGAAAACTTCTCTAGTGGAAGATGCTCTATTTGGGTTTATATTTTGAGATTTTCTTACACTTATTTCTCTGTTTCTTTTCAGAAAACCTTTAATCCAGTCGATACCAGGCAAATTATTTTTAAACTGCTTAACTCTCTTACCCATTGTATCCAAATGGCTTTTCATAACATGTCGTAAATCGTCGTGAGTCAAAGGAAAGCCCCATTCAGTGGTTTTCAAAAGCATCTTGACCAGTGCCTTTTCTTCGTCGTTGTTTAAAACTGTAGGCCTTCCGACGTCCTTAATTTTTTTGTTGTTCAGTTTGTGACTTAATGTTCCTTTTGGGATTTTGTATTTCTCGACGCCTTGGAAAGTGATAACTGTTTTGTTTTAATTTCGCGAATTGCTTGATCCAAAGTATCAGAGGTGTAATTTTTGTATGATCGACTACCCAACTTTCTAACGTAATCACGCATTTTGGACTGATATTATCGCACTACACTACCTATTGCACCACAACTGAATTTCCTAACCACACAATGTTCCTACCGCCAAGCCAACCAATGTTATACTGAGCTCTGAGCTGACTGAATTTCATTCAGATGATTCAAAACGAGGTAGCGTAACGCCAGACAATAATATTTAGATGAAACTCGATTAACGCCGCCCAAGCACGTTCAATCCTGCCGTTCAATGTTACCCCATGTTCCCAAAATAGTTGACATATTTTTTGTATAAATTAATTAAAAATATTCAAAACCCTAATCAAGATATCTTTTGCATATCGCCGGCTGCAGACCAAAGTTTGAGAGATTTTTTTTACTACCTTTTATTTCAGAAACCATTTTTTATTTAATTTTTGTTAATTTTGAGAACCTGCCAGAAATTTTATCAGGAAGTCCAAGAAAAACATATTGCAACCCTCAAAAAAATATATCGGCCCCAAAAAAAAGTTTAGGCCAA